ATCAATCAACAGCTGTAAAATATTACAGTACTAACAGTGGCATGTTGCACATGGATGGTATCCCTGTTTGTACTTTTGGTGTGCATTGTCAAGGCACACATTTAGAACTCTTTGTTATGACATAGGGTTTGTTAATAAAAATGAGGCAATTGTTTGGACTATTAGGTAGTGTATATAGTAATATCTGTACTTTGAGTCAAGTTCTTTAAAGGGATCCCAAACTCCCAACACATGTTGTGTTCATATTAAAGATAATGTTAAAAAAAAAGGTTTGAACCAAATTTTTTTGATTAAAAATAAATAATGAATGCATACCGTGAAAAACAAATGTTGTTGTTTTTGCCGAAGCTCGTCTTCTCCATTTTTTTCAACTAATCGGAGTCTTCAAATTATGCGTCGCAATCTACAGACTTTGGCAATTCCTTTAAAGCGCGTTTAATTCATAAAAGTTTTAGTATTTGACGTCACGGTAGACTTTTAACAAAAGAAAAGTGTAATTAAACTAAGCTGCGTTTTTCTACTGTAGTATTTTTTTAACATACAGCAAAACAAATTTATTTGTATTATTTTTCCAAACATCGCAAAAAAAATTTTGTAAAAAGTAAAAACAATAAATTATTTTTATTTTATAGGAGCAACTTATTTTTTACAGATATCTTAATAATTTTTAGATTTATATATCTTACTTATATTTCTTTAATTATTTTAATTAAAACAAATATTGAAGCTTTACTTACCAATCTCATGATTTTCATACGAGTATTTTACTTTATATAGAACGTTTTATATACGGTCTCTTGTTTTTGCACAAGAGAGCGCAGTATTATATATTCTGATTCTTAATTATTTTTATTTAAACAAAGGGAACTATTTTCTAACTTCTCTGGTTATTTTTACGCTATGACAATTTTTTGTTTTCCCGTCGAAAAAAAGTATTTATTAACAATTACTTTCATAAACTGACAGTATTAATTAGAGATATTTAATGAATTGTTAACTTTTTTTATTATAAAATTTTTTTGATCACGCTGATTTAATTTAAATTGCTAAATTTGCTGAATTGGATAAGGATAAAAAGGAAATACCATTTTATTTTACATTTGATTTTTGATAATGAAATTTTTAAAGTGTCAATAACTCTATACCAATTAGAACCTGTTAAGATTATGAAAAAAAAGTGCAAGAATACACTAAACAATACAGTTGACAGTAGTATCAGATATGAAAATTCGTGAAAGGATTTGTGAGATCCTGATTTTGCATTAAAAGTACAATTAATTGCAACACAAGTCGGCATTAGAAATTTTGATTATAAGTTTACTGTTCAATATTTTATAACCATCAAATAAAAAACATGAAGTTTGTATACTTTGGCTTGTTTTATACAACTAATATTTAACAAAAATACGAACAAATTATTATTAAATAACGCAATAATTAACACATTAATTAAAGGCAATAATTCAAGATAGATGGTAATTTAAATTGTTAAAATGTCATAACGCGAATTAAAAAACATATTATATTTGGTATTTCCAAATTTGTGTCGTAATTGGCATTTGTCTCTTAACATGAAAAATTAAAAATTTTTAAAAACACAATTAACAAATACAAATTTTCAAGCAATTTTCTCTTCCAATTCTCACTTATTCAAAGAAAATTTACTATTAAACTTTTATTTCTCTCATCTAAAAAAAGAATGAGTGAAGCAAAAAAATATATATATTCTATACAACTCTTACTCATTCAAAGTTTAATTGCGTGAAACTTTTCTTTCTCTTTTGTTCTACTCTTTTATAAAAAGAGCGCCCGATGAAATAAAAACTTTTCTTTTTTAACATATAATTATAGTTTGAGATAAAATTAAATTAGAAATAAATCAACAATGAGCAAAGCAACGAACAAATTAATCTGGAACTATTTATATATTTATGAAATTAATCAACATAAACAACATTGCCAACAACAATTATCAAATAAACAACATAGTCTCGCATAATTTTAGGGGCATTTTATTTTTATTGCTTAGTCGTTCTAAATAATAAGTAAATTTAGTTCAAGTTAATAATTCAATATTTACAGTTGCAATAGAATAAAGAAATGGTGTTTAATACTGAACTTTTTATTTAGTTATATATTTTTTTACCTACATTTGTTATAAAAAACTTTAGAACCCCCGTCATTAAAATAATTTGTTTTAAATATATATTGATTTACGTGATTATTCAAACTAATTTTTTTCATTTGACTTTCCGAACTTCATGCAAAGCAAATTGAAACGAAATATCGTTTAACCAAATAAAAAAGCTGTTACTAATTTTATACGGGTAATTAATGTAAAACAATTTTTGAGATAATAAATATTCATAATTTATAAACATTAAATATATGGCGCAATAACAATTTATAGCAACGAACCAGCATAAAATATTTAAGGTTTTTAATATCTTTTTAAATATTAAAAGTAGAAAAAAAAAAAAAAAAAAACTAAACAAATAATCAAAAAAACTTTGACTAAAAATAAATAAAAATATTTCTAGAGTTTAATTTTTTAAAAGTCTACCATGACGTCAAATACTAAAACTTTTATGAATTAAACGCGCTTCAAAGGAATTGCCAAAGTCTGTAGATTGCGACGCATAATTTGAAAACTCCGATTAGTTGAAAAAAATGGAGAAGACGAGCTTCGGCAAAAACAACAACATTTGTTTTTTACGGTATGCATTCATTATTTATTTTTAATCAAAAAAATTTGGTTCAAACCTTTTTTTTTAACATTATCTTTAATATGAACACAACATGTGTTAGGAGTTTGGGATCCCTTTAACCAATTAAAAAAAAAAAAACGCTAAAGTATCAGAAACTATAAAACACAAAAAACCATTGTCGTCACCAAGTTCTCTAAATCTATCATAACTATCTTACTTGAATTCAGAGAAACACCAATAATCACATGCCTGGGTATTTACATTCGTAAGAATTCACCTATTTGTTGGGAAACAAGGTTTGAATCCACAGACTGTATTTTTAGGTGTATATCGCCCACAGATTTTTCCTTTCTCAATCTCTAACTTCTTGGATTCAGGTTGGCACGGAATCTTTTATTCCTTCTCAACAATTCCAGGTCAAACCTCACTCTTATCCATGGTTTTCCTCTAATTGTGCTGCTGCAACTTCCTTGAAAATTGTAATAATTACTTCCATATCTATTGCCAAAATAATTCTCCAGAAAATAGACATCTATTTACTATTGTAGAAGTCATTGTAAAAAGGTTTTGTCTAACACCAAAGCCACTATACTTTCGTCACAAAATCTTGTAATTTATCTCAAAATACCTTAAAAAAGGTTGATATATTGTTTGACATTTGTCATCAATGTCAAACTCACATCACTCCACTTTCTGTAACTAAAATGATTTCCTGCTTAGGCTCTTCTACAGCTTGTGGTCAGGACAACATACCTAATATAGTCTTGCAGAAGTGATCTTTAGAGCTGTCATCTATACTTTCAAAACTGTTTAACAAGTGCTCATCAGAGTCTTTTTTTCCAGCCTGCTGGAAAGTGGCATCTGTTATCCCTATTTTTAAAAATTCTGGAAAGTGATCTGACTGTGTAACTACTGTTCCATTAGTCTTCTTCCTATCATATGCTAAATTCACAAGACCTAATTGCTTTTTTGCAAAGTTTTTGAGTTTTTAATTAGCAAATACTTAATCTCTCATCTTGAATCTAGTAACTTTCTGATCATCAATATGAATTTTGGTTTTATCGTACATTAGATAGATGTGGAGAGGTTAAGGCTATCGCTCTTGACATTTCTAAAGCCTTTGATAAAGTTTGGCATGCTGGTCTTCTCCATAACCTTTCTTCTTATGGTGTATTAACGTTCAACCATTGTCACATGGTTGTAATGTTGTTTCTCTTTTTTTTTCTATAAATAATATAATGGTTGCTGCTCTAAAGAGCTAGCAACTCTTGTTCCATCTACTAAAATTCATTTTAATGTTACTTGTCATTTAATTAAGTCTCATCCTTTTACTGTGACTGTTCCTAAGTGCTCTGAAAATTCTTATTTGTCGAGTTTTTTTCCTCGAACATCTTTTCTTTGAAATTTGCTCCTTTCATTTTGTTTTCCTGATTCATGTAATTTTCAATCTTTTAAGTTGTCTGTTATTTGTTATCTTGCTTCTCAAACTTCATCATTTCACCCCAGTAACTTCCAACTCTAATAGTGGTTGTTTGCGGCTTTGTAGGAGGATGTTTTTTTTGTTATAAAAAAAAGAAAAAGAAGAACATTTTTAAATTTAATTTCATAAAAATATTTGCTATAAACTTTATGTATAATAGTAATTGCTTTTATTTCAAAATTTTATTTTTTAAGATTATAATTAAAGAGTTTCTTATGTTGCATAAAATAATTTTAAAATTATATTAATATATTAATGTAACAAGAAGCATTAAATACGAATTTATTGTAAACAAATTTAATTAAAAAAATTAATTTAAAAGTTAAAAGAAATTAATTATTAAATCAATAAATATTAAAACAGTTAATCATTACATAATCGAGTTAAGTGTTACATAATCGAGTTAACTGTTACATAATTGAGCTAAGAATAGAGTATTATGAAGCTAATAGATAAAAAAATAACAAAGATATAAAAAAAAAAAATTTATTATTTAAAAGAAGATCAATATGACAACATGTTTAAAAAAAACAAAACACAATCAGGCGCAAACAATAAGAAGTTAGGAAGTGGACAACACCAATTTTCAGTGCTAAAAATAAACAACATATTTCAGTTTTATGGGCGCAATGTCATGCTGAGCAACATTTTTTTTAAATATAATTTTTATATAACAATATTTTTAATAATAAAACCTGTATATATATTATTTGATAAAAGACATATTTTTCTAAAATAATAAATAACAAGGGTTTCAGCGCATTTGTGGGTGTGCATAAAAAAAAGTACACACATCTTTTTTTTATTTTTAGCAAAAAAGTAATAATATTATGGAATTGAAGAAAACAACACTACTCTTGCACCTGTTTGGGAAAAAAGGAAATCAAGTTGTCTCATTTGACCGATTTTTTAAGTATTTATTATTTTTAATTATTTATATTAATAGATAAGATAAAATTGTACAACCCAAGTGTCCCTCTGTGTGTCATTAAGTGTCCCTCTTAGTGCAGATGAAGTTTAAGTGTCATAAAGTGAAAATTATCATAGCAGTGAAACAAAACAAACAGAACAGCCATATAAATTATAGAAAAACAGCTTATTGGACATCCGATTGAGGAATTGTTTCTCCAATGTTATATTATCCAATAGAATATCATAATTGTCTTTAAGACTTTTGAAGTTGCTCTTTTGCATATGGTAAATTAGCCATAATTTTCATTTAATTATAAAAATTAATTTAATATTTTGTTTTTAATTTTTAATTTTTTATTAACTGTATATATATATATATATATATATATATATATATATATATATACAGTATTGGACAAAACATTTGCAACCCACATCAAACAATGCTAAAAAGTGTTCTTAATTTTATTTCTTAAAAACAAAACGAACTATACTACCACAGCAAACAGTTCAGGAGTCTGGAGTCATAGCATGCCATGACATGAGCAATCAGCTGACAGGTGACAGCACACAGGCAGAATTTCGTTGACAAGTGCCATTTTGCAGCAGACAAAACAAGTGCATGGAAGTTTTTTTAATAATTAAAGGAAGTATCCAGACGCTGTGTTCCACAGAGCATTATTGTATCATCACAAGGTAAATGTTACACACGGTCAGCCTTGAGAAGCGTGATTATTTATTTTTATTATTTTTATTATTTTTATGACTTCAAGTGCAAAAATAGCTCCCGGCAGTCTTTATTTGCAACTAAGAAAGAAAATTATTGGCGATTACGTAAGTGGAATGTCACAAAAAAGTATTTGTGATAAATATCGGGTGAAAAAATGGACCGTATCAAGACTATGTTCCAAATATCGTTCTACGGGGAAGTTGGCAGCAGATAACAAAGGTGGAAGACCGCGCTCCACCACTTCTAGAGAGGATTCTATGATCGTCAGATCCGTCAAGAAGGATCCCTGGATATCATCAGTCGAGATACAAAAGCAATTAGAGCTGCCTGTATCGGACCGAACAATCAGACGACGTGCTGTTGAAGCTGGATTGTATTCTCGACGCCCTGCAAAGAAGCCGCTGATTTCACTAAAGAACCAGAAGAAAAGACTCCTTTTTTGCAACATCTCATATCGACTGGAAATGTGCAGAAATGGCAAACTGTCCTGTTCAGTGATGAATTGAAGTTCAATATCATTGGGAGCAATGGCATTTGCCATGTACGTTGACCGGCCAGAAAACGGCTTGATTTATGTTACTGCCATAAGACCGTGAAGCATGATGGTGGCAATGTAATTGTCTGGGAGTGTTTTTCTGCTAACAGCCTAGGTCCAATACATCGAAACGATGGAATAATGGACCGTTTCATGTACAAAAATATCCTGAAAGATGTTATGTTACCTTATGCTGAATGGAATATGCCAATAAAATGGGTTTTTCAGCAAGACAACGATCGAAAACACACTGCAAAAATAGTCAAGCAGTAGTTGCAAGACGACCATCTATCGGTTATGGATTGGCCGCCTCAATCTCCAGATCTCAACCTTATCAAGAACCTGTGGGAGATTGTCAACCGCAGAATTAATTGTGAAAGTGTTTGTAATAAGGATCAACTGTTTGAACAAATTCAAAAGGCCTGGGCAACAATTCCACAAAGTTTCATTGATCACCTGATCGAATCTATGTCTCAAAGATGCAAGGCTGTGATCAAGAACAAAGGATTCGCCACGAAATATTGATAGCAAAATACAGCTTGGTGAATATTTTGTGGAGTTGCACTTGTTTTGTCTGGAAGGAAATCAACTTTTTTTAATACTTTTGATTAATTTATTAATTTTTGTGTACAAATAATGAACTTTTAATGAATAAAACTTGAAGAATGTTGTCTCTAAACAGTTACATAGTTATTTCTCTAAATTGAAAAAATGCAGCACTTTTATATAAAGAAACTAAATTAGCATTATTTGGTTGCACTTGTTTTGTCCGATACTGTATATATA